TTGCGGGTTCCACGGACAAAACCGCATAATCGCCGGTTGCTTCTTCATATAGATAACCTTTACTTTTGGGCACCCTATTGCATGCTATGCTATAATTTATTCCTGTTGTTCCGATAGTCCTCTTCCCTTCGCCCCTCTCTCATTCTCTCCAGCTCACCCAGCGCGAAATGGAGGCTGATTTTTCAATTTTGGCCATCTTGCACAACGACCCCGTCGAATGGTGCAATGGGCTATTTGCACTTGGGCGCTGAGTTTCCTATTGCACTCTTTGGATTTATTCGATTCCTTATGGGGTTCCTTCCAAGGCCTCAATTCCTATTTCTCTTTTATAGACCCCTCCTTATTATACTCTCCTGAAGTCGTTCAGAATTCACCCATTTATCGCACAGAAGAAGGGTCACAAAGCAGAAGATCACATAAAGGCACCTCATAGAAGTATAAGGTATATTGCAGGTTACTCGAAAGTTGCTGATCTACTGTTTTGGAGTGCGCCATGTATTCTGCTTGCATGAAATATTGTGGAGCCATGTTGAGGCCTACTTTGCCTGGACAGTGCAATGGGAACAAATCCTCCACGGATAGCGTAACGGAGAGCGCGGTCGCCCCGGAAAGGTGGTGGGGGCAGATTGGAGACCTTCCTAAAGTCCAGACTTTTGCCCATAACTGAGCATTCTTATGATGATTGATAATCAGTTCCATGCATCGTATCCTTTCAGAAGGATCTAAGAGCCATTACCGGAAGACAAACCAGCTGGACACGAAGCTGGATGGGCGCTTACCGTACAAGTGGGGTACCACAGGTTAGAGTAAACCCCCTTTTTCCCCATAGCTCGGCATTTTTGCGATTACTTCCTCATCGCTGACAGTAACAATAAACAGCCGTTATCATAATGGAGCAAGTTTTGCATGTTATTTATGTGTCTGTTATTACTTTCGACCCTGGATAGATGGCGTGGGAGGGGCGGAGGTCAGTCGAGACGACTTCCGATCTGGGGAATGCATTACGACATTTTGATGTTGCGCTAATGGAGGGTTATCCGCTTTCAGTGGTTGGAACTGTGGCTTTTGCACCTGGGCTCAACTCTTTCTTTGGGGCTATGTGCGTTAAGGGCGGTCCTTCTTCGTAGGGCCAGATTCTGAACGTTGCCCCCCCCACTGTAGAACGTCTAGCTATTCATATGTATTTTGAAGAGGCGAAGAGCTCTTGAAGAACCCTGGACCTTCTTTACCCTCTCTGGTCCCTTAGCCCATAGAAAACCTTTGAAAGGCCTGAATTAAGGGTGACTTTTAACAATGGACATAAAAATACTGCTGCCGGAAGCTAGAAAGTATGGAGCCAGCCTCTTCCTAAGGTCAAGCATGTCCAACGTCTTCTAGAGAATCTTCCGATTGTCTCTCGTAGCCACCTGCCCCTCCCACTTCCCACCTCTCCGTTCTTCCTACCCTCTCAGTTCCAATCGCATTACTGATCGATCCTTCAGGCTCGTAACTCAATCATGCGTATCTGCTTGAAATGGCAGT